GTCGTCAAGAAGTTGGAATTAATTAAAGCATTAAGTAAATGTATGAGGGTTAAAATAAATTGTTTTTCCTCGATATTACAAATTTTATTCCGTTCTCTAAGCCTTCCGTTGCTTTTGAAAAAAGCAAAGGAAATAAATAAAATGTAATTGGACAACAATTGTAGTGAACTACAGTTCTCAAACTGCCGCAAGATATAATCGCAGTAGATGCCTACACAAAGCACGTTTTTCCAGACTGAACTAAAACAGCGTATTAACCACGGAATCACTACAAACTAAATTTTATCCACTGTCACAAAGTTACCCCATTTTACAGTACTTTTACTTACACATGGCCTCTCATTTCTTAATGGTTAAACTCTGGTGGGTGATTCTAGACAAAATTTCCAACAAAAAAGTTTATTTAATGCATGGGCCAATTCCGCAAAAGGAGTTAAGACCAATTTTGTGTTTTTCTTAAGTTGGTCATGTTTTTCGTTGAATAAGAAGGAAATGCTAAAGAAAACTGTTCAAGATAATTAAATTCTAAGTACACCATCTTAACATAGACACTTTTTTTTTTTTAAGTAGTGATTAAATTTACTAAGGTCGATGATAAAAGGTACTTTAGTACATCGGTCGTATTAGATCTCCTCAAGTCCCTTTTATCATTGACTTTAATAAATTCAAATACTGTTTTCTTAAAAGAAAATTTTGTCTAATTTATGATTTACAGTTTTTGAGCAATTTCTTCTTATTCAATAAAAAACGTGACCACCTTAAGAAAAACATAAAATTGGTCTTAACACCTTATCCGTTCGGAATCAGACCATACATCCGATGAACTTTTGTGTTGGAAATTTTGTCTAGAATCAGTCCCCTCCCTCCCAGAGTTTGGCCACCAAAAACTGACAGCCTGTATATAAAATATTATGACAGCTTGTATGTATAATGACAGCCAGTATAGAGAGTGTTTCAGAGTTAAGTACCCAAACTGCAAAAATGAACTAAGGACCTCAAAACAAGAAACAAATTTCCTCTGAAGATATGCTTAGGAGATATTCACACCTAAAGATTTTCGTTGTTATGAATTATTTACGTTATATGAAATAAATAAAACATATTTATTTGTCCTAACTACTTTATTAATTAAATGTAAACATTAACATTCATATTAAATGTTGTTCAAAGTGATTCCCTTGAGTATGAAGACAGGCTCGGCATCTTTCTTCAACAGCAACAGTGGCAGGACGGCAATGGATATGTGTTATTGTTTCACAAAATTCAATTATCCTTCTTCGTAAGGAATTAAGGTCATTAACCTGACTTTTTGTTTAATGTCACCCCAAACAAAAAAATCCATTGGTGTCAGGTCTGGAGGCCAAGCTACTGGTCCTGCACGGCCAATCCATTGATTGTGATATGGGATAAGATTGAGCAAGTCCGGTCAATGACCTTAATTCCTTACGAAGAAGGATAATTGAATCTTGTGAAACAATAAAACATATCCATTGCCGTTCTGCCACCGCTGCTGTTGAAGAAAGATGCCGAGCATGTCTTAATGCTCAAGGAAATCCCTTTGAACAACATTTATTATGAATGTTAATGTTTACATTTAATTAATAAAGTATTCAGAACAAATAAATAGGTTTTATTTATTTCATACAACGGTACATATTTTGTAAAAATTTTCTAACTTGGATCCACCAAGGTCTTCGTATCGCCTACTAGGATATCGACAATCCCTACAACCTGAAAATCAGAAGCGCTTACTTCAATTTCTGGAAAAACACAATTACTACAGACATATTTAAGCAATAACATCTTCATACACGAACTCGCGACGTAAATCAGAAATAAATTATACAGTTGTAACAACACGTTCTTTAATCAAACATCCTAACAACATACGCATCTAAAAAAATACAACACGGTCCCTACAGACATATTGAAATGTAATTCAATAATTAATATGGTGCCTCTAACGTATATAATTGCACACGGCACCTAAAATAAATCAAATGAATATATATTTCATACAACGTAAACAATGCAGAACAACGAAAATCTTTAGGTGTGAAAATCTCCTAAACAAAGCGTTTGCGGACATACCTTCAGAGGAAATTTTTTTCTTGTTTTGAGGTTCTTAGATAATTTTTGCAGTTTGGCCACTTAATCCTGAAACACCCTGTATATTATAACTAATATATTAGGTAAACTTTTATTCTCAACTTGTGTTGAACTCCAGTCAAGTTGTACTGTCGGGTCAACTGCGGTATTTGAACTTCGCGTGAATTGCTTTTATCGGAACTTTATTTTTCCGCATTTAATACTAGGAAGTGCAGTAAACCTTCGTGATTTAGCGAGTTATTAAGGGCTGTTATAAAGTTATATCTCGGGTTCATATCTAGCAAAGCCGTAGATCAGTTGATTCTGGTATTCTATAAAAAAAAATTAAAGAAAGTTCATACATAATAAAAAAAGAAAAATGAGATTGGCCAAGCTGTGGCAAATTACCTCCAAATTGAAAGCGTAACGAAACGTTTCGTGTTGTGTCGTATTTGTTGTCACTGCCGTAACCAATGGTAACCTTATCGATTTTTTCTTTATCCGATATTTAATTACTCGTTTGTTGTATGAGGATACATAAATTATTGTTTTAACCAAAATGAATTGAGGTACATTTATGTTTACAAGTTAATATTGTGAATAATATGAGCCTACTTTGTCCCTTCTTTGAAATATTTTTTGGTTTATTATTTTCTATAATGAATCGACAAAGAAAAAGAAATTTATTTTTTTTCTAAATTTCACTTTTTACGTTCCAAGATATGTGAAATCCAAATTTCGAATAAAAAACAAGAGCCAACTGGATATTTACTAAATCGATTATTGATTGAAAATTTCTTAGAAATAAAACTAGATCAAAAGGATGGTAATCATGGAATTGTTACGGATAGATCACAAACCAGACGATAAATCGATTTAAGTAGTGAACTTCGTTCATGAATTTTCGGTCGACTCCCCTATCAAGTTAAATTACATTGTTAAAATTTATTTTTGGATATAAAAAAATCACATTATAGGCATTTCATGAAATCGGGGAAAGATTACACGCAATAAAGATGATCATAAATTCATACCTATAAAGAAAACTACGGTGCGTGGTTTAGACCACACGATAGAAGTGAAAACATCAACAAAGGAAGATTAATAATACGAAATATAAATTATAAATAGTAGCTCATTATAAAGACGATGAAATTATGAACATTTCCCTCGCTTTCAGTATGGAGGTCCGATTTTAAGTGCCTGAAATATTTTAATCCATATCTCCAATAAAACTTGTTATAGACACTATCTTTTCCTTTTCGCCTTTCTAACACGGCGTTGCGTTAAGATACAATTTTGAATAACAGTCTATCACTGGAAAGATGAAATGATAAACAATTCCCTCGCTTACAGTATGTAGGTCCGATATTTAGTTTTTGAAATATTTGAATATATATCTTCAATAAAACTCGTTATAATTGTGGGTAAATGGTTGACTGTTGTGAATAATGAAGAGAAGAATAGTTGGGGTGATCAGTCAAATAAGAAGGCAAAAATAAATGATAATATTTATTTTGATATTTGCCGACGTTTCGACCTGAAGTTCAGGCCTTCAGGGTTTACGAAAAATTTCCGAGGGTATTATAAGAATTCAATGGATGGAATATGGGTAGCCACAAACTTTGAAATGAGAGCCATTCTTTTGGTCTTTGAGGAATCGGTTGAACTACAAAACAAAAAATTTAATATTAATCCAATTGCCATCTTTATTAGGACCAATTAAATAAAAACGGGACAGAAGTCGCTTTTCAGTGGATACCAGGCGATTAATAACAAGACTGACAAACTGGAGAATAGATTCTGGAATGAACCGATAAGATATTCCTCTTATCATAGATTCAGCTAAAAGAATTTAAAAGAAACTCTCTAAAGTACACTAAAGGAGAACTTTGCCCTAAACTTGAAGGTAAGGGATTGAGCCGGAAAGTCCTCCATCGTAGAACTAGAGGGAGCTGTGGGATGCTTACTAGGCATTACTTCCTGCAGAAACATTTAAGTCGTCATGGATGATTTTATTAGTGAAAAAGTAAGAGGCATTGAGGATTTTACGTAGGATTTTGTATTATAAGGATTGGACAGGTGAGGAATTCGATTGCTATATGGAGCCTCAGATCTCAACTCCGTAAGACCAAAGAGGTCTTATTGTAATCATGTATATGAGTCTTTTGTAATTAACTGGAACCATACAGCGTTTGCTAAATAAGTGCGACAGTAGTCGGAAATGTCGAGCGATTTCTTTTCGTTTCAATCTGGTATGAGGATTCCAAGTTAGACGTTTGTCCAACTGGAGTCTAAGGTATCGGATTTGTTCAACAGAGGTAAGTGGGGTATTGTTAAAGGATACTGTAGGACAGGAAGTCATAAGTTTACGACGAAGGGTAATAGTGATTTGATGGGATTTATTGGAATATATTTTAACCCTCCAGTTTTGACACCATTCTTCAAGATTTGTGATGAATGATTAAAGAATCTGGGATGGAATATGTGGTTAATTTTCAACTGATAGGACTCACGTATCATCGATATACGTGGTGATTACAGTGTTAGGAAGAGTTGGGATGTCAACTGTGTGATAAACTGTGTAAATGATAGGACCTAGGATACTTCCTTGAGTAACTCCAGCGGACTGGGAATAGAGGGATGAATAAGCGTTATTGTGGTTTACCCAAAGTACGTATCAGTTAAGTAGGAACGGACAATGATGTAGGATGTAGGAATTTACGGAGTTTGTAAAGCAGTCCCGGACGCCAAACTCGATTAAAAGCCATGCGTTTTAAATATAGGGTTTTTATTGAAGTCGTTCTTTTCATGATGTTTGCTTTGTTTAGTAGACTTGGACCAAGTTTTCTGTTCTAAATGTATTATTTATTATTATTAAGATATATTTTAAATATTCTCCGATTGCTCAGGGATATCCAGCCTGGTGAGCTGTGCGACCGTGGAAGACTTGCCGCAGCTCCACCCCCACGATGAGGAGAGGCTGCAGCGTGCGGCGAGGCTCCTGCAGCAGAGGCTCATCCTCAGGCAATGGCTCTACGACCATGGTCTTCAGCACCATCATCACAGGTCTGCTTCATTCTTGGTTATATATATCTAGTTCTGTCAAAAATATTGTTACAAGGATATATGTAGATTTCAAGAGAATTTTTTTTTTATCAAAAACTTTATTATAAAATAAAATGTATATCTATATAAAGTAAAATAATAAAAAAATACTCCAAATGTCCCCCTTTTGTCTTGACACAGGCATTCAAAATCCGTGACCAACCATCAATAGCAGCTCCCAGCACTTCTAGAGGAAAGCGCTCAACTGCTCGGACCAGAGATTGTTTGAAACTTTCCAAGATAGGGTGTGCTCTGTGGCATGCCATCCTCTCCAGTTCGGACTAAAGCCGATAATCTAGTGGGTTGAGATCAGGGCTTCCTTAGGGCCAATCCGAGGCAGAGGTGAACTCTGGAATGTTCTATTACAGCCACTGTCGAGTTGACGTGGCCTTGTGTGCTGGAGCGGAATCCTACTGGAAAACCCAATGACTTCCAGGAAACAGAGTAACATTTAGAGGCTTGACAACATGTTCCAAAATCTCGTCTTGAGTGATGACCTCTTTTCACTCTTCCAATGACTTCCTGGGCTTCTTTAGAGCTTTGTATCCACTATCCACTCTAATTTTGTTTAGGGAAGTGGTTAGACTTTGTCCTGTCATTCTTCGAATTCACCTATTCTAAGGTCACTTTCTATTATGCGAGACATTGATCTGACAGAGATTCCCAATTCTCGAGACATGATTTGTTGTTTTCGAATGGGATTTCTTCTGATTCGAGCAACCACTGCTCTCAATGCATTTGTCATTCTCACAGAGCGGGGTCGAGGCCTGTCATATACAGATAGGGTCTCATTATATCTATTAATAGTGTGGTACACGAACATACGGCTGATACCCAAATGTTTCAAAGTGTTAAAATCTCTGACCTACTTAAAATCTTCTTTATCACCCCACTCCAATTTAACTGAGCGAAAGAAAAATACAAACTAATTGGGATTATTATCTTGACATGTAAAGAAAATAACTTGATAGAGGAAATGATTATCTAAATATTACCCAAGGTTATAAACAAAGTTCAACTTTTGATACAGTATTTATGGCAGAACTAGGTAGTTTATATATTTTTACGTTGGACATAGTGCCAGCTCCTAACCTCTGCTCTGAGCTTATCAATAGCATCGGATCCAACTCTAAACTGTACGAAACAATGTCACCCAATAGTAGAAATAGAAAATTCGATTCTTTTAACTGAACTGATTAGCAACGGTTCTTGGATCGATTCTTTTCACCTTCTTTTTTTCTTTAAGTTAAAAAAGAACTATTTATTGAAAACAAAAATTTTTTTTTTTTTTTAAAACTATTGAATTTAAAACTCCTAATTCAAAAGTATATAAATAAAAAGTTATGAATCTTATAAGTCGGAAGGAAGTTTAAATGGAATAGAATTTTTTTTTTTGTTTACTAACTCTATTTTGTACTGTGTATATACATTTTAATCGACATGAAATGAAATAGAAAATAATTTTATTATCCTTGTATTAATGTCCCAGTATAAAAATTATAAATGCAAAATAAATAAAACAAGACAGTTTGGCCATACAATAAATTAAATATTTACAAAATAATATGTAATTAAAAATTAAAACAGAAAAGAGAAAAAAAATGTGTACACATATCATTTTTTTATTTCTTAATGATATTTACAACTATATAAAAGAAATACATTTAGTGAATTTGAACATAAGGATATAACGACGTGAAAACACTTGTTGAGTAACGACCCAATGGTAGCACTCTAATGATATGTCTTTATTAGGAGATCATGGGGCCATCTTCTTTTCAGACGCCTCGGAGGGTTATCAGGAATTGAAGAGGAAGCAAGGTTAGAAACGAGAAGGTTGGGATGATTCTGAAGTTTATTATGGATGGATAGGCATTGGGAGAGATCTGAAACATAAAAAACATTAAGATCATTATGGATGGTTTTATTTGTAAAGTAGGGATCATTGAGGATTTTACAAGGATTTTGGATTGTAAGGATTGGATACGAGAGGAATTCGATGGTTTAGTGGAGCCCTGTATCTCAACTCTGTAAGTCCAAATAGGTTCTATTATAGTCATGTGTATTAGTCTTTTGTAATTAATTGCAAGTTCAGAGCGTTTGTCTAGTAAGTGCTGAAGTAATCGGAAACGTCTAGCGGTTTCTTGTCGTTTCAGTCTGGTATGACACATATAATTAAACCAAAAGTTATAATTAAAATAATAATTTTAGCCTATTAATAAATCAACTGAATTAGAGTTATATTGAATGAAAGAAAATATTACTTAATATAAAATAGCTTTAGAAGTAAATTTTTGGAGGAAGATTCCGGTATTATTTCAGATTAATTAACTTAGGATCCGTCTATTTATTTTAAACTAAATTTGACAGAAACACAAACTATCAAAAATTGACTGAGAATTTGTTAGGAATCATACGAAGATTAGTTACTTTAAGAGAAAAAAAGATATTCATTTCTAAGATTAGGTTATCCTTTCTTATCATAAGCGTGCTATTTTGTGAGGGCATTAATATGTATGAACTCCTGGGAAAAAAGATACAGCTTTTTCCTTTTTACTGATGAGGTTTTTTCCGCCCTTCCTTGCATGTTAGTCATCCGGGTTTGCAAATGAGATCCAAGCCATTAGCACGTTCTTCGCTACATCACCCATATCTCGGTGATGGAACTAAACATTTTTTTTATAAACTCCATCGAATTACAATGGAAAATAAGTTGGTAATATAATTTAAAATTCGTAATAAATACTTTGTTTGATGATGTTTTGGAATTATTTTGTGATTCTGTATGCTTTCTTGAAGTCACTGGTTTAAATAGAATTCTCTACACCTTCGATCATTGCAATTTAGATTATCATAGTATTAGGTGCGATAATAGTATGCAGTACAGACCTCTTTTTATCAAATTAATAACATCCGTTTATAACTTCGTGAGTAGCTACATCTTATCGTAAACTACAACTTCTGATTAGATTAATAAATTTAATGAGGTACTAAATACTCATGCCTTGCAGTGACTCATTGCCTCGTAGATTCCTCCTGGCTAGGTCCGATTGACTCGCTGGCCAACATCGGTAATGCGTACCGAAAAAGGGATCTGAGTGGGACAACACCCGTGATTGGCTATGCGGATGATCTGGTCCTGTTAAGCGAAGACATGGAAACTATAAAACTAAATGCGACAACGTTAATGAAAGCTGGTAAAGAACTAGGGCTCGAGATAAATACGGATAATACAAAATATATAGTTAGCTGTAAAAATGGCGACAATTTCGATTATATCGATATAGAAGGGAATGCGGTTGAAACACGTTCAGAATTTTAGTTATCTAGAGTCTACGATAACTATAAAAAGAGAAATTTAAGAAGATATTAAGGGTAGGTTGAAGGCGGAAAATGCTTGTTATTTTTCTTTAACTACTTATTTCTCGCCTCTTGTCCAGAAATTTAAAAATTAGAATTTACAAAACCTTTATCCTTCCTACCAAGGGTGGATCTACAGGGGAGGGGCTTTGGGGCTGCAGCCTCCTCCCCCACAAAATGGTAAAATATAACCATGTTTTATGGAAAAAAAATATTAAAAAATTATCTCTTAAAGTATTATTATTCGTGTAATTACAAGGACTTCAGAAAAAATCACTTAAACACCATTTCATATAGGTAATTAGTTTCTTTCTTTTTTCCCAAAGTAATTATCATTATTTTTATGAAAAAAAAACTTTCGGGCTGAAGCTGACAAAAATATTGGTCTACACAACCGCTATATTTCGGTATATTGGAGTCGGTGGTCACACCATGCGGTCCAATATTTGTATAGGCCACATATTTTCTCCATTTCTTGTTCAAATTATCTTATGAATCAAGTGGAAAGCGAATGGTTGTTCTTCAGATTTTAGTACCTTATTAAATAGACAATGTTTACCCATCTACAGATTGAAAGCGCTCCATTTTCGAGAATTTTCGTAAATAAAAAGTTGTAGGTCATGATAATATGAACCCATTGATATTAATATTTTGACATATAACAGAAAATAAGGCCTAGAGAGGAGGGGGTGCTTCTGTCTCCCCTGATAACGCATTTAATACATTTTTACAATCAGATGAACGAGTTTACCTTTAACTAATAACGACTTGTTGAAGTGAAAACATTTTTAGACACATTTTGCACTTTTGTGGATAGTGGATTAGATTGAGCGGTCAGATTCCAACGTGTAACGTTTGGGTAAAGTTGGCGGGTGTCGATTAATTAAAGTGTTTGGAGTTCGGCTCTAGCCGGTGACAAAGACACATCGGCTCCACGGCGGTGTCCTATTTGATTGAGTTTTATTCGCCCAATTGAGCCAAAACTTGACATGTGACCGAAGACGTATGCTGGAGACCTGCTACTTGAATTTCGAAAAAATCAAGCAAAGAACTTCGCCAGGACCAGGAGGTAAAGAACTAACGTGCCTGTGGGACCGGGGTCCATATCACTGTGCAGAATAGGACTTGTCGGCCCCCTCCACCTCACAGCGGCCGCCTCCATCCAGCAAGGTCAGTGGCGTCTTATCAATACCAAGAGCCGTCGCCGAAAGAGCCCAACCTATTTTGTTGTTATCATTTTTTTCTCTCTCCTCTCTTATTAAAAAAAAAACTGATCACAGGAAAGCTTGATTATTGAAATTAATGAATTATTATTTATAAGAATTAGTATTTAGCTTTATCAACTGATCGATTTATTCAATTTTATTTATTATTTATTAAGTGGACGTGGGTGTGTTTATTTAATTTTTAACAATATATTTTATATATTTAATTTGTTTTTATTCATTAACTTATTTATTAATACATTACTGTTTAACCTAGATTTTATTAATTGTATATTCTAATTTGTTTTTACTTGTTAACTTATTTATTAATCCATTATTGATCAACTCATATATTAATTGTAGATCTCAATTTGTTTTTAATAAACTGATTTTATA